GTTGATTACAAATGAATAAATAAATCCTTAAATAAATGAAGAAATAAATTAAAGACATGCTAAAAATGTATTTTAATATATTTTTGTTATTTCATGGGGACATTTATGTATTTGATGAATTATTAATACTTTATTAATTACATTATTTCATTTTGAAGGAAAGGCTCTCCATAGTTCTTTGCTTTGTCTAAACCAGGCGGACACCGTGTTGGGGACCTGTTTTACTCTGGCTTTCTCAAGGACCCGGATGTGTGACGTTAATAAATAAATTTTGGAAGTGAAAGTAGTCAAACTGAATTTTGAATACAATAAAATACAGTTTCAAAGCAAATTAATGCAGATTCAAACCATGAAATTCAGGTTCAATTTAGTAAAATTCATTTTTAAACAAGTGTTTAATTTCAAACAATGTAAATTCAGATTCAATCTGAGCGATTCAAATTCAGTTTCTAATTGGCACACGTTACTTCCCATGGAAAACTCCCTGCGTATATGTCTCCGAGTATAAATAAGCTTTTAAGGTGTAAACCTAAGTTGACAACATGGAGCGTTCAAATGAATCATTTGCCGTGTTCAAATATCTGAAGAACGAAGGGACCCACCGTACGTGCACATTTTTCTATAGCAGCTCCTTTGATTTCTGACAAGAATAATAATAAACAAACATGTCTATACAAATGACAAAACCATTAACAACACAACGGTTGGAACTTTAATTTTTATACCACCAGATTTTTATTTAAAACTAATTTCTGGATCAGAGTCTGAAAGCAGATTTGTTCAGGTCGTCATCTCAGAGCCTTGTTGCAGACTTTAACCTTCCCTTCAGGTACGTGTGCATCCGTGGGGTTTTCATCCTGACCACAGAGTGCACGTCGCTGACCGTCACGCTGGTGGTGACGCTCCGCAAGTTCCTCAGCCTCATCTTCTCCATCCTTTACTTCCAAAACCCCTTCACCGCCTGGCACTGGCTGGGCACGGCAGTGGTGTTCGCGGGCACTCTGCTGTACACGGAGGTGTGGAGCAGCGTGAGCGCCGCCCTGCGGGGCGTCGACGGCAAGGACAAGAAGGCAGAGTGACGATGCAGATGGACCCAAACACCTGCCTCTGTGCTGGACTTGGATTGTTTTTAATTCTCTTGAAGTGGGTTTCATACTTGATCAAATATCCTGTTCAAGCCTTCACAGAAGGGATTGGGTGCTTATAATATTTAGGATTTTTTTTATAACAGTTTTCATAAAAACACCAGAATCGTGAGTTCAGGATTACAGATTAATTTGTAGCTATTAGTTTATTTTGAGTAAGTCTGCTGAATGTTTTTGCCTGATTGGAAAGTTACTTTTTCAACACTGTTGTATGTTTTCACTCCTTCAAAACATCACTGATGTTCAGAGAGCCCTAAAACGTTTTACACATGTTAAAAGTTTTGAATTGGCTATAAAAAGGGTTAACCTGAGCTACATCAAATGGTGCATTTTGACAGCGTTTACTTCCATAGTTTTCTTAATATATTGATGTGCAATCCTGAAATGCAGGTACGCATTCAACGTAAACAAAGCACTTTTAGCTCCATACTTTACTCAACAAAGTTGAGTGTAGATTTGTACCAACATATCACAATTTCTTTGGATTTTAAACAGCATACCAATTTTTGACCTAGTTTTAGTCACTTGGGTTGTTTCTGTAGGTAAACAGAAACAAGTAAATTATAATTTTTTTATGCTTTTTTAAAATTATTATTATTTAGGGACATTAATAATTGATATGGACACAATTAATGTGGACATTTTGGTTTTTTGACACCTTATTGAAATGAGTAACTTTAAAACAAGGTTGTATAATCTGAGTGTTGAGCTCAGAAACTGATCTGTTTAAAAAATAATAATTGTTCACGTTTTATGTTTTTTGGGGGGCTTTTTGCGTCATTTGCTGATGGAAACATTTTCTTCAGCACTTGTATCTCAGTAGCGTTCATTCAGATGGTGCAGTCGTGTGTTTAGGTATTTATTTTAGACAATCAGGTAATTAGTTCATGGTTACGGTTGTATAAATGACTTCACCTTTAGATTCAGACCTCAGCTGTAATGTCACAGTGTTTCAGGTGTGTTGAACCTGTTTTAGTCAAGAATAAAAACCAACACTCCCAGTGACCAAAACAACATAAAAGTCTGCTTTTTTTATTAAATTATTGTTGTTTTCTTGCTGATTGTTTCTGTGATGTGAAGTTTCAGCCCCCTCCACAGCTGGGACACTCTGTTCTCTCACAGCTCACTGGTTTTAACTCGGACTGGACCAATCCACCGAGGTGTAGTTCCAGCTCCACCCAATGGCAGCTGCTGTCACTCGCAGTCAGAGGTAGGAGCAGGCTCCTGCTGAAGTCTAGATTAAATAGTCTGACAGAAGATTGGCTTTTAGTTTGTGTGTCTGCAGCAGAGGAGGAGGATGGGGGGCAATAGCCCAAGTCACTTCTCTAAGGAAGAGGAGGGAGGAGGAATCACTTTTGTGAAGGGTATCCTGGTGAGTGAGTGAAAGCTCCCTGCACTGTCTGAGGAGGGGTTATTGCTGTCTGCATGTTTCATGTCCTGATTGTGTGATTTAAGCTCTGTGTTGTTTGTCAGCTTCACTCCTGTGATAAATGAGTTGTTACATTGATGGCCCTGAAGTTGGTTTCTGATTTGACATTCAGTAAAGATTTATTCTACTTAATTTTTTATTATTTGGAACATTTTATTCAGCTCTGACTTAAAATCTACACAGTTTAGACTCCAAACCTGGACTGCATTGTCCTATACTCAAATCAGAATCTGTAAAGTGCAGTTTGTTGTTGCTGAAAGCCTATATGCCACGGTCATTAATGACGTATTTCCGGTAAAATTCTTGCCACGCTCCTCCCTTCCGCTCCCTGCTCACTGCCTATGTTTTTAGTGTGAGCTCCTAGTACTAGTCCGTGAAAAAGTCACAAAAGTTAAAGCATCTGTGATCTACTGGTATAAAACCTGAGTTCTGTTGTGTGCCGTTGTGTCCACTGACCAGCAGATGATTGAGTAGTTCGTTTTTATCCATTTTCCTCTTGATGAGGAGGTGACAGCTGAGGATCATAGCATTTCAGGGAAAACTTATCTTTAAAAGCTCACGCTTACGTTTGTAATCGGCATTTCTAACCTGAGGATATTCAAGAGCCAGCATCAGAAATGAGAAGACGGAGGTTACAAAAGGGAAATGTACATTTATCCCCTTTTACTGCCAAGACCGAGAGGAAAGACCACCTCCACACACAGCAGCCGGTAAAGGTAGGTGTGTGTGTGCGCGTTTGTGTTATATGAAATGTTTTTATGCGACTTTGTCATGAGTTTTATGCAAAAGTAAAACCTTGTTAGAGTGTATATTACAGCGTAGACTAAAGCCGAGTGATAAGCGCCCCCCCCCCAAGCACCGAGCAGCAGAACCTTTGCCTGATAATCATTACATTTTCACTTCACAACGTCGGGGAAAACGATCCAAACCATACAAGTAGCCCATCAATTTAAAACCCAGACTCTGCTCTTTCCAACAATATATGTGTCACAACTCTTATGTGAAAAATTCACCGAACAAGCAGCCATGGAATAGTGAAAAAGGCTAAATTCTGGAACCATAAACACGAACGTCTTTCCTTTGTTTTTATGGCTTTAATCCACTTTGGAGTGATTTTTTTTCCCCCACTTGGCTGGACCTGTACGTCTCCTGTGTTGATGTTGGTACATGTAATATGCTAATTCTGTACTGTGGAGATCATTAAGAGTCGTTGTCGGGTGAAAATATCTTTCGCTAACACTGTATTGACCGTGAACCGGAAGTGGCATCAAGTGCTGGGCTGGATGTCTGTGGCATATAGACTACACCCCACTCCCCTCCACACTGGCTTACATTGAACTGGGTTCTGTTTGAAAACTGTATAAATCTGTTCAAAACTAAAATAGATTTATTTATTTTGTGAAAATTTAAACTCTTAAAACCTCTTCTAATTTATTTATACTAAAGCATGAATTCTTAAAACCCAGGTCTTAAACAGTGTAAATATTGTGTAGTTCATCAACTCGAACTGTTACGGCAACAACTTTACTTGAATTCTCACAAATAAAAATAAAATAAAGCTATCAAAAATAAACTTTTTATTGTTTTTTCCCCTATTACTATTGAATAACTTAGTCTTGGCGCAAGATTTATCCCATAAAAATGAGTCAAATACTAAAAGAATTTGTGTAATATCCCTTTAACAACTGACACAATAGTTAGCTGGAATTGTACACTAACTTCAGTGTCATGTTGTCACTGGCTGAAAATGAGACAAAAACAAGTTTGTTTTGCAAATTCTTATTTTTTTTCTCACATTAAAAACAAACTAATTGTAATTGAAATCAAGCAGTTCTTTGTGTTTTCTATAGAGAGCCATGTCATTCAAAATTAAATAAAAAATACTGTAATTAATAAAGTGTTGATTACAAATGAATAAATAAATCCTTAAATAAATGAAGAAATAAATTAAAGACATGCTAAAAATGTATTTTAATATATTTTTGTTTTATTTCTTGGGGACATCATTTTATTTGATGGAATATTTATTAATATTATTTAAAAAATTCATTTATTTAATTTTGAATGAAATTGCTCTCCTTAGTTTACATCTTATTTTAAAAGTCATGAAATGAATGAACTGCTTGACTTCATGAAACCAACTGAATCTGGTCCTGCTTGTTTATTTGAGCCTGATTTATTTATTTATTTATTCAGCTTCTTTGACTCTGAATTAAAGTTTAATTACTGAAGTAAAGTTGGTTTGACTGATCCTAATGTATGAAACACTCCTCTGGACCAGAAATAAAACAGAATTTAATTTTTAAAAAAACAACATTTGATGCATGTTTTTTTAATAACCGTAATGATGATTGTGGCCAGCAGGGGGCGCTCCTGACTTTAATCATGAAACTTTAATTCCATCAGCTGTCAGACAGAGTCATCAACCGGATGAAACGATCATCAGAGGTCAACAGTCCTCACATCCCACCAGAACCACAAACAGCAGCACCCTCTGCAGTTCCTGTCCAGCCTGGAGAACACCTCCCACCTCCTGCTGCTCCTCCTCCTCCTCCTCCTCAGGAAACCAGACCCACACCACCACCAGTAAAACCTGCTCATCCTGTAAAACCCATCCCTCTTTCCCTTCCAGTGAAGTTTCCTTCTCTTCCTTCAGCTTCAGTGGAATCAGCAGAGCAAACCCCTCCTCCTGCTGCAGTTTCTGAATCTGTTCCTTCACCTCCTGGTGTAAAATCAGACGTCTCACCTTCAGCAACAACCTTTGAACCTGCTGCTGAGTCTGCAGCCTCATCACCTCCACCAGCTGAACCAGTCCCATCCTCTCCTGTCGATTCTGCTCCAGCTGAAGCTCTCACCGAGCCTGTGCTCTCCTCCGTGGCTGAAGAGGACCCTCCAGCTGTGGATTCAGGGACCCCTCCACCTCTTCTGCTCGCTGCAGCGGCAGACCTTGATGCAGCTGCGCCCTGTTGGAGTGAAAAGCTGTTGGTTGTTCCCTCTGATGCAGCTGTGAACGAGACAAGTGCTGAGGGGCCGAGCATCACACACCTACCTCCTGAGGATGAAAGCCCTGCTGGTGCTGCAGGACCACCACCTGCTGCAGGTGGGTGTCCATCAAAGACACGTCCTTTGTTCATTCAGGTAGTTACAGTGGCTGTGATTAGCAGGACATTCATTTTAAGAGGCTTTTTTTTTTCTTGAGTGTTGTCCCCCAACTCAAAAAAGAATAAAAATAACTTATTGCTTTAGTGTGAAATGATTAGTGCAAATTGATTAACAATAAATAAAAATTACAGGCACAGAGATTGCATATGGCCTGCCTTTATGAGATTTTAAACTAAAATCCTTTTATTAATGGAAAATATAGAAGTTGTAGCTATTTTAGTCAAATCTTGAAAATACGTTTACAGTAACATGAGCTATTCAACTGAAATGCTCCGGGGGGCACGTTTACTCAAAGCCACCTCAGGGGCTGGACATCGCTGGTGTTCTATAGAATTCAGGACATCGTGGGAAAATTATTTTTGTTGCATTGAATTATAAATTTAAAATTTATAATTGATTGTTGGATTAATTTTAAAACCAAAATGTTTTTGTTTTTTTCGGGGGCAGGCCAGACGGAAGTCACCATCCAGGCTACAGGCCACCAGTTGAAAAGTTCTGGTATGTGTTTTATTAGGGTTCTTAGTATGTTGGGTGTGACTCTCAGCTACTACCACACTGAATGTTAGCTCGATTGAAAGTGACTGAGTTACAGTCGTTCTTGTGAAGACTAAAGTCAGTTAGCTGTGGCGGCCATCTCGAACTGGATTTACTCTTGAAGTTATTCATTTGTAGTTGTCCAGTTTCTAAGAGCTTTGTTAAACGTGCAATATTATGTGTTTCTCAGGAATATATTCAAATTCTATACCATAATAAAGTATCTGTGTCACCTTCAGTTGTTATTAAAATTGTGTTTTTATGTTTAAATAGAAAATAAACTTGACTTCTCATCATATCTGTTTCTAAATGCCTTGAAATTGGCCTCTGTCTCTTGAAGAACCTCCTTCTGCCTCTGTCCCACCCATTTCAGCACAGGGCTGGGTAGGTGTGTGTGCTCTGTGACGAGGAAGCTCGGCTTGGAGACACAGCCCAGAGGAGGAGCTAGTCCCAAAAGGCGGTTCTAGTCCCAACTGGTTGTTTTTGCTCCCCTGCCTGTTTGCCTCAGGACACTACAGGATTTCTCAAACATGCATGAATGAGTCAAAGCAAGACTCTGGGCATGTTTTTGATGAGAGGATAACATTATAACATGATATATCATCATATAATGATAGATTTTATATATATATATATATATATATATATATATATATATATTGCCCCTTTAAAATCTATCCGCTGGCTCACGAGCTATTTTGCTAACAGACAATCAAATGTGCACACAGACAGTAAAAAACGTTATCACTCACATTTTCCCTTTCAGCCGTGAGAAACAATCAGAACAAGAATGTTTCTAAAACGCTGCATCAATGTTAACCAAAATATGTCGTTTGTGCAAACAGAAGAGAAACCCTTCGAGGTGCAGTTTGCAGGTCAGGAAATGTAACTTTATTTTTATAAACACAAAGTTATTGTCTTATGTTAGCAGCTTTGCCCGTGTGTCCTGAATCAGTGGAGGAGGAGCTGAGGCAGAAGATCAAGGAGGAGCTGCAGAGAAGCCTGGAGGAGGAGATGAAGCAGAAGAGACAGAAGCTCCAGCAGCAGTAAGACTCACCGTCTCCTCTCTTCTTCATCTTTAGCATCATTTTGTTGATTGTTTGATCCGTTTGTAACGGGAACTGTTCGACGTCTACTGATCAGTTGAAGAACTGACCGAGCTGTTTGTGCCTGTGAAGGTTGGAGGAGGTCAGGCTTCAGGCTCAGGTGGAGCAGCAGGTGAGCAGGACGCTGAAGGCGGAGCCAGCGGAGGAAGAGAAAATGAAGACAGAGGATGAGACGCTCATGGTGCAGCTTTATGTAAGAAGATTAAAAACACTTGTTTGTGCTTATGTCCTAACTATATATTCATTTATTATTTTTTGTCTTTTTTTTCCCTGTTTGTTCAGTGGATGGAGCTGAAGGTAGGACAGGAGTGACTGTTTGACTCCTCCTGTTTCTGTTTTCTTTTTATCTGCTCGTGTTAGTTTTTCAAAATGTTCTCGAAGCACAGGAGCACTGCGTGTTTTGTACAATCTGAACAGTCTGCCCCTGTCCTGGCATCATTAAATCACACTCAGGCTCAGCAGCTGGAGGAGAGAGAGAAGCAGATGAAGGAGCGAGATGTTATCTTCAAGGAACACTCTGCAAAGCGTGAAGCAAAGGTAGCTGACACCTTCACCTTTGTCAAATTTACAGGCGAAGTCATGGAGTTTTAAAGAAAAAAATCTTTCAAATTAAAATAATTTGCATCATTTTTGTCACCCGAGAGGCAGCAGTATATATGCCTGTGTGTTTGTTTGTAGTGTTAGCAAAATATCTAAGAAACTTCAAAATGTCAGCTTGTTGAACTTAGCCAACATGCAAATTGCAAATTTCAAAGATACTGAACTAAAGTTTGGTGTGGTAGTAGCTGAGAGTCCTTCTACAGCAGTCTTTCACAATATATATGGAGCATAAAACTTTTTCACAGCTCTGTCTTTAAAGGGCCTATATTATGTGTTTCTCAGGAATATATTTAAATACTATACCATAATAAAGTATCTATGCCGCCTTTAGCTGTTATTAAAATGCTGTTTTATGTTTAAATAGAAAATAAACTTATCATCTCATCACTTCCTCTTCTAAACGCCTTAAAATTGGCCTCTGTCTCTTTAAGAACCACCTTCTGCTTCTGTCCCGTCAATTTCAGTCGGGGGGGTTTCATGCGTGTGCTATGATGCAGTTTACTTGGCATCTGAAAATACATTTCCTCAAAGGTATTTTGAATCTGAAAAGAGCTTCACTGAGTGAGAAGTAGCGTTGAGAGCAGCAGACAGTTTAAGTTTCACTTTCACTTTTTCTCTGTTACTGCAGAGAGCCTGCAGGAGTCATGGGCGGGGCGTGTGGGGTGGGGGGAGGGGAGGTGTGCTCCGTGATGAGGAAGTTCGGCTTAAAGACACGTCCCAGGGGCGTTTCTGGTCCCAAAAGGCGTTTCTGGTCCCCACCTGTCGTTTTGCTCCTTGGCATGGCTTCCTAAAACCGCTGCAGGATTTCTTAAACACGCATTAATGTGTCAAAGCAAGGCTTTGGACATGTTTTTTTTTTTATGAGTATAACATTATAACATGATATAAAACTCAAAAAGTTGATTTTACATGATATTGCCCCTTTAAACAAAATAAGATGACCTTGGTCTGAAACTCGAGCATGAAAGACGGTGGGTGATTTGAATTCCCTTGCAGAATGCTGAAAATTTAATTATTTCAGAAGTCAAGTTTAATCAGATTAATGGAGGTCAAAATCCTGAGGCTTGTCTGAGCATTGTCTTGCAGTTTTTGTGTAAAAACATGAACAAAAAAAACAACTTTTCTTTGCAGAATATTGGTAAAACAAATATATCATCAGGACTGTCAGAGCAGAGAGAGGATTTCTTCATTAAAAAAAACACTCAAAGCTTTTATAGAAAAAATTTCTGAGGCTCAGGTCAGCAGAACAAAAGTGAGAATCGTTAAAAAAAAGCAATCTGAGCTCTGATACAAGATTTTCTTTAAAAAAGAACAAGTAAACCAAAGTCCTGCTGACATGATCCCTTATACTGGTGGTCTCCGGATAAATAGTGTCGTCCTGAAGATATATGAGAACACAAAGACTGATAAACATTCCTGACGTCAATGAAATGTTGATGAGTTGTACTGGAATAAATCTGCTCCTCCTCAGCTTTGAACAAACATGAAGGTTCACTGATGCTGTCATCAACGCTGAACCCCCGAACTAAAAGTAATTCAACTTATTTAGTTTATATGATTCATTGGGTCGTGTATAGAATCCACATTATAATTGGTTCAGTTACTGTTTGTTGTAATATTGGTGCACATGTTAAATTTTAAAATATAAGTAAAAACGGTGGCAAATATAAAAACGATCTTCACCTAAAGGTTTCAAACTAACAGTTTTAGCTAATAGAAACCACATTAAAAACTGTAAACATAACATTTATTTCTATAAAAGCATCTGTCATCTCAAACTCTGAAATATTTTCATGCCTCACACAAAGTTTTCTCATTCTATATTTAATTCTCAGTTTTAATTGGAGTGAAGATGGATGAATTGTGATGTTTTCATATCATTCACTTGAGCTTTTTTTGCCATTTTATCCACTGAGGGGCAGTAAGACTCAACATTAATCACTCAGCAGTTTTTTTTACTAATGTTTTATGTTAAAGATAATTTGTTTGTTTTAACTTGTAGTTTTCAGAGTTTTGCAGAGTGTCTGCAGAGAACTTCCAGAGAGGCAAAGAAGAGACTCAGAGGCGTTTTGCGTAAGTTAACATCATGGTATACTTTTTATTTTATGTAAAACGAGTCCTAGTCAGTGCAAATACAAATTACACCAACTTAATTGCATTTTCTACAAGAATGCAGTGTGAATGCTGAGTGGAGGTGCTGAAATTTGCTGAACGAGCTGAAACTGAGCTGAAAGCTAAATGTAACAAAATGTTTTGCTGCAAGCTGCTAACTTAAAGATAAATGTAATAAAACACTAGCAAGCAAAAATCTGCTGAACATAAAAAGAAAAATGCTAGCTAAAAGTGACACAAAAAGCTAAAAGTAACAAAAAGCTATGTTTTTTAACTAAAATTAGTGATAAAATTAGCATCAGTTGTGTTAGCATTAGCCATAGCAGAACTAGTAGCTATTAGTAGATCTAACATTAGCAGTAGCAATATTAGCAAAAGTACGTTTCAGAGAACAATGTTTTAAAGAATTTGAAGACATCTCAATGTAATTTAATCAGAAAACATTTTATTAGTAAAAGTAAAGTTCTTGAAAAGTCTAAAAGTTACAAAAACAACAAGTCATAGCACCAATCGCTTGGTGAGCTGAACGTTTCATATGAATTGTTCAAATAACACAATGTATGTGGAAGTACTTAGATGCCAACAAACGTACGGCGGGAAAAAAACACAGGAAAACATTTGTCTGATGTTTTGCCTTTGTGTCCTCCTCCTCCTCAGGCGTTTTAACACTCAGCCGGTGTGTGGACATCTGCAGGCTCAGGTACTGAAATGCTACAAGGAAAACCCAGGAAAAACTTTGACTTGCTCGGGAATCGCATCGGCCTACATGCAGTGTGTGGACAACGCCAAGAAAGTGCACATTAAAACTTAAACTGGAACTTTACAGCTCGATCCATTAATCACAGATAATATTTTTACTGTGACAGCTGCTCAGCGGAGGGTTAAAGTGACGTTTTTACTGCTGCAGCAGAGACTCTAATACAACTTGTTTATGAACCTGAAGCTGTGCCATGAACCCACAGATCTGTGAGCGTACCTGGTTTTGATACCTTTTTAGGACTGTTTCTAGTATTACCTTGTCAGGACCAATTTTTTTTTTTTTCAGAGACCAAAGTCTGGTCCTAATATGGTGGAATGCCAAAAGTATTGAGTTTAGGTTAGGGTTAGTTAAGTATTGGTGTGGTTAGGTTCAGGATTAGGCTAGAGAAATGAAAGTCAATACACAGTCCTAATAAGGACAGAAAAAAAACTTGTGTGGTGTAGGTGTAAAGTATTTATACTGAATAATTCAGTGTGCCTTAAAACAATGAAAACCAACAAATGGAGTGTAGATTTAGAAAAGAAATGTGCAAAATAAAATTTGAGATGTTCAAAGTTCAGCAATAAAGTTTGATATGTAATATTGTAAAGTGCTCAGTAGTAAATGGTCCATATTTCTATAGCAACTAAATTCAACATAGGACTTTAAAGTTTTTTTTTTCACTCATTCACTTTTACTGTGCTTTCTATACGTTCACACTACATACAGCACACAATATCCTCACCCATGCACAGTTAAGTCTATTGGGGTTAATGAGGGTTATGGGGTCTTGCTCTGCAAGGGATTGAACCCTTGACCCTCTGATTGGTAGATGACCGCCGTTACTGTAAGACGTCTGGATATTGTTTTTTACAGAAATGGTTCTGCTCTTTTGCAGAAGTGAATACCTGTCTTAGACAGCTCTTTCAACAGTCCCACACTGGAGAAACCAAGGCTAAAGGCCCCCACTTACTCGGGCGTACTTCGCTTCGCAGAGATAATTTTTTTACGTCCGCGGTGTCGCGAGTTCACGTCGAACTGTTTTGGATGCGACACCAAGCTGATAAAGTTGAGAATCTGTGTCATTTGTGGACGAAATGGAGTCAAATTTTGAAGAGTGTCTCATGGAGGAGATTAGAAAACCTTATGGCACGTCACTGAAGGAATCTAAAGACTTTCAGCGACCAACAAATTTGTGGGAGGAAATAGCTCAGATCCTGGGTAAGAAGTTTTTTCTTTTGCTGTTTTAAAGCTAAAATGCAAACTCTCTTCCTCCTCGTCCTTGACATCATGACTGAAATTTCAAGAAATTAAAGAATTTGTCAGGCAGTCAGTACATTCGAGTATGAAGTCTCAAACATTTGTGGACAGTACACACAGAGTCTGCGCAGCTCATTGACCGCACACAGTACGCCCAAGTATGTGGGAGCCAGTATCTCACCGGGGCTACGACTGTTGGAGACTAGTCTGCTAACACCGTTCGCAATGGTTAGTCACTAAAATATTTCTAAATGTTTGCTGTGATTCTCAGTTTCTTTGTGTGAGTCACAGACACTTTAATTTTGGTCATGGTACTTGAATTTTGAACATCGTGTGTAACTGGTCACAACTTTGTGATGGCAGAGAGGTGACCTCTGAGCAGCTTCTGCTGAGAGAATGTGCTGGCCGAGGCTGTGGGAAAATACAGCAAGCGCTGCAACTATTGGAGTAAAAATGATAAAGTCATAAAATAAATCTTATAAAGATAATAAAAATGGAGATTGGACAGTGTTGGGGTACGTTCTTGTCCGTTGTAAATGGTGCTGACCTCTTTGAGAGCAATTTGCAAATTAGTGCTTCTCCTCAGTTAATAACAGAAACAACAGATCTTTTTTTCTTCAACGTCTTCATCACCTTCAAATAAACATCCACTCTGACAGTTAGGCTGTGTGTGATGATTCAGATTGCACCAGATATGCTGCAACAGGAGGATTTATCAGATTTAAACCCCTCAAAAAATCGAAATCGATCAGTAAAACCATCATTGTGAATGAATACTTAGATTCATTTTAAGAAGGCTATGTAACTGTTAGCTCAAATTTGATCAGAATGAAACTCGGCTTCTTCAAACTCTTTCATTTAGCTATCTACAACAGGTAAGATATTATTTCATGATATTTCTAAAATCCTCGTTTAAAAAAATCTGATCTCCCCCTTAAAATAAATATAAAATTAGTAACAATTAATAGTTTCACAAGTTTAAAACATGTCATACGTTTTAACACATGTACATAACCCCACCACAGGTTTTCAGCCAACAACTTCATCGGCATCGTCAGATAGCAGACAAGTTATTAGATTAGGAAGAAGACGGGATTGACAGTAAAGCATCCTCATCCTCCTGACAAACCAACTTCAGCCCACCGGTTTATACAGTTGACTGCTTTCTTGAACTTTGAATGACTGTTCTTCACAGAAATATGAAACATCAGCATCATCGTGAAAGTGGAAGGAAAATGAGGGAGGACATCAAGATGCATGATTTTAAACAAAATAAATCACTGTGTAAAAATTTGCTAAAAAAAAGTTTATTACATTTTTCATGTAGTTGTTTTATAAGCTTGAAAAAAGAGTAAAATTGTGCTCGTTTGGTTTGCTAATTATCAAATTGCTTGAATCTGTTAGTCAAAACTGCAGTTCTGAAGGTTTGATAGATTTTCAATTTATATTAAATAATATAATTTAAAGACCTCAATCAGCCAAAGATTAATCAATCAAATTTTCATCAGATGTCAAAGGAACCTCTGATTGTGCCACTGAAACAAGTGTTTGTTCATGGCCATACAGGGAAACAGTCCATTTAATCCCTCACTCATTTTCTGGAAACAAAAACAAGGATTAAAACCCAAAGTGAAGCTGTGGTCTTCAGCCCTCAGCTTGACGTCAGGGTCAGCCACAGAGGAAGTGGTGGCCAGAGGTTAGGCACAACTTTCTGCTTGTGTGCACAACAACAACTACAATGTCCTTTGAATAAAAAAAACAGCACTGATCTGTGTTTGTGCTTCATTTTGGAATATTATCCTTACTGATGCGCTCTTTTCCTATCACTGAGCATGTGTGTGAGTGTTCTAGTAAAATATTTCATGAACCACTGGACGGTTCTGAATGAAACTCTAAGAAAATAAATAATTGGACGTACACCTACAGTTCTTCAACTCAACAATGGCTACAGCTCAGTTTTACAGATAATGAGCTAATGTTTGGTGTGTCGAGAGTCATCCCAGACACATGCTCCAAGCTCTAACTGACCACAGAATATTTGGTTTAATTTTTTTAAATAAATTTTGGAGTTCAGCCCATGCAAGATGGTCACCACAGCTAGTCAGTCTTGGCAATTTGGTGTGGTAGTAGCTGAAAGTCATCTCCATCACATGCACTTGCAGTTCTTTTAACTCTACTGAATCTCTAGACTAGTTTATTAAAATTATTCGTTCAGAAGATTTGTTCACCAACTCATTCAGTTCATTCGTGAGAGAGAGAGAGAGAGAGAGAGAGAGAGAGAGAGAGAGAGAGAGAGAGAGAGAGAGAGAGA